TTCCAAATATAGTTTAAATAAAGGTTTTTTACGCGGGGCGTGGTTCAGTAATGAGGTGCGTGTGTGGTCGCGCTGGAGCTGGGCTGGAGCTGGCGAGGGAGAGAGAGAGAGAGAGAGAGAGAGAGAGGAGGACATTCCTTCGCGCCGCATGTTCTGCTGCCGGAGTTTCTGTTCTTTTACGATATGATGTGACTTACATTCTAATTGGGCGACATGTTGTCCGTGTAAAAGTGGCGTATAATCACAAAGGGCCCCCCCTGGCCTTTCCACCCCTCACTGATTGGAACTCAACTCCACCGCATTACTGCTTCTCGTGTGTTGTTGTTTTTTTCGGAAGATAAAGGAGAGAGGTGTGAACTGTGCTTTCCCGCTTCCCACTAGAGCCCTCCGCTACGGTCGTCCTCCTAATTACCCGCTGCACCCTTACACTTGTGCTCCGCTTAGAACAAAAGCGCTACTCGTTACGCCGTGAGTGCGGTATGTGTCTTCGTGTACAAGGGGCCCATTCAATCTCGTCGTGTACCATTTTCCGCTGCTGCCGCCGCCACCTGGTGTCTGCCGGCGGCCACAGCGTGCTGCTCCCGTCGTATTTTTGTTGTTACTTTTTCCTCTTCAGGAAAACCCCTTAAGGAGTCGTCAGAGTGAGTGCGACCCTAACTACAGACAGGCTTTCTTGTTCTGGCTGTCATTATATTTTGATGGCTCCGGCCTCCATTTCCCAAAGGCTCGTGTGCACGTGATATGAGCGAGGGGGATTATTCAAGAACACCCGCAGCGCGGTGTTCCGAGGCGTTCTCCCCCGATCATGACACATTTGATGGCCCCTACCTCGGCCGCTTTGATGACCCTTCACTGCTGGGTATGCCCGCTGCCCCGACTCATCCCCGACCATGACCCACATTCTGGCCCGGGGCCGCGACCTTGTCTCGACCTTGGGATCGTCCCGGGGAGGTAGTACGTCCAGCCCAGAGGGGGAAGGGGGGGGGGGGGCATGGTCCACCGCCAGGCAGCCGGAGGGTACTTATCCCGACAACATAACAAATCAAGCGGTGGAAATATACACAATATTTTTCAAATGGAAGGGCGACATTTTAAATGTGACTCTCACATTCATCCTAAACTGTGTTCCAGTTCCACATCGATCACGACAATAAAAGTAATTATTGAGATGTCATTCAAGAGTCGAAACGCAAAACGAAATTCAGGCACGGTCGAAGTTGCATCTGCGTTGCTCACCCCGTGACAGCGACCCAGCACAATGTGGTCATCTGGATTGTTTTGGTCAGTTTACTGAGACATGTGACAAAACGTACCGGTTGGTTAGTGACTAAAGAAAGTTGCCGGTGTCAAGAGCGAGCGAGCGAGCGAGCGAGAGAGACAGACAGAGAGAGAGACAGACAGAAAGGGGGGGGGGGGTAGGGTTAAAAGTAGAGGAACATACATCGTTACGGAAACTACCTCTTTCTTCCTCTCTGTGAACCGCACATAGGGGCGCGCAGACGAAAACAGAACAGGAGCCAAGGACTGGAGTAGAACACGAGAAACCTTTTAACTGGCCTAGTGCTCCTCAGTTACTTCTGCAACTGAACGTACTGATGGCAACTTTTTTTTTAGTGAAGGATTTAATTTAAATATGATAGACAACCAACTAGCAAAGCGATGCAGTTTTCCAGCAGTGTTTGTGACTTTCTCCGGCGCCGGCGTGTTGCCGCGCAGGAGATTCTGTGACCTGCCAACCGTCAATCGAATTTCAGTGCCCTCGCCCCCTTGCCCCATCCTGGAAGGGGCGGAGGGGGGAGTGGTCGAACTGTGGCCGCGGGCGTGACACGTTCACTGCTGCGCACGCAGCTGCCGCAACACCTGCGCACCTGACACATCGCGAGAAAGTATAGCGCCTCGCTGCACTCACCGCGTCTACTTACGATATGGTACACTGTCACTCACGGTTTAATAGCAGTACAGGTGTATGCATGTAGCGAACTTGTTCGTGAGTGAATTTCCATCCGCACACACCAAGTAAAGTTGTGAATTTCCCAATAAAATTCGTTCGCTAGTGTCCTCTTGTGTGCGAATAGAAATTCAAAATTCACACACATACAAGTGTGTGACACACACTTGAGTTTTCTGTTACTGTTGGAGCGCATATTTTTTTACGATAATGTTATTACGATTGTGGTTATGCGGTATATTATGAGAACTATTACGGGTGTTTGGAAGTCCCACGATTGAAACGGTCAGAAAGGTGAGCCGCGGAACCCGTTTGCGCCCTTGAGGGCCCCGCCCGGCCCGGCCGCAGAGGGTTACGAGCGCTCCAACACGTACCGATTGTCCGTCACGTCCTGGACCCTCGAGCACGTCGCACTGAGCGGGATCATGACAAAAAGGACACACCGCGCGGACAAGACAACCACCTCGAGGTATGAAAGCGAAAGTCCGGGTAGGAGGAAAGTTAACCGCTGGTCCAGGCGGGCGGCAGGCAGGGCGGCGCGAGCGGGACAGGGCTTTGAAAGATAGATCGGCCAGAGAAAAGTTGTAAATAAAGGAGAGAGAGAGAGAGAGAGAAATGAAGAGAAAGAGAAAGA